GCTTATGAATGTTCAAAAGATATATCATTATCAGTATCTGAACTAGTTCATCAGTAATTCTGAGTTAAAATAAAAGTTTTTCCTCATTATACTGTACCATCTCTTCAATTTATCCATATCATACTCTACCATCTCTCCATATTATGTGTGAGGACATAATATAAGCATTCTGGTTACCATTTTGGGGATTCTCTTTGAAGGGATACACTGTGTAGCAGTCAGCTTAAAGTGGTGATGAGATGGGTGACTGGTATTGAGTCCAGAATTATGCTTGGTATTTGGTATGTGCTCTGTGCTTTTACAACTTTCACTTAAAAAATGCAGAGTTTTCTTGGTCATAATAAACTCACAAAGCATGAAATACTCAAGGTGACTTCATAGAAGAAATTAATTTGTCTCATAGGGCCTAAAAGGTATTGTGCTGACTGAAATAAGTCAGAGAAAGATGAATACCATATGATTTTACTTACAGTAAAACCTAAAAAAACAAAACAGGGACAGATTTATAAACAGAACAGATGGGAGGGGTTTGGAAGCTAGCTGAAATAGGTGAAGGAGAAAAAAAAATTGGTGAGAATGTTTGATCTCTTAATCTGAGTGATGGTTACATGAATATATACACATGTCAAAATTCTTTGAACTATACACTAAGATTTGTGCATTTTATTGTATGTACCACAACAAAAAGTGAAAAAAAATTTTTTGGCCCATAAGGAAGTGGATAAAATAACAAAACAGCCACGTGGAAATTAAGGTTGGTCAAAAGAGGAGCACAGGGCCACTTGTGTGGGTGATGACTAAAGTTTGTAGAATGTGTGAAAAATGTACACCACAAATATCAGAGGCCACTAGAATTATCCTAGTAATAGGGCTGATAGTCAGGATTTTAGTTCTAAGTGTAGAAAGTAAATGAATTCCTTTAGAATGACCTGGCCCTTTCTGCTAAGATTTCTGAATGTCAATCATTATTTCATTTATACAGAAAACAAATCATACAAAATAAATGCTTTGTATCTACCTCTTATTGAGCAGTGACTAGGCATAAGAAAAGAGATGGTAGTTAGGAAAATACAGAGAACTGTAGGTCACGGTGCTTGACCTACCCTCCCAAGGAAGTCAACATACATATACATAAAAGGACAGCTTAAAGTGTAAAATGGTCCAAAAATAACAAATGAATCATGTGGACAGTACAGGGACTTCCTGGGTATACATAACCAAGCCAAATCAATACTTCTACAATCACTCAGACTATTAAGAAACAGTGAGTCTGATTTTTCTGTCTTGTGGAAGGAAACTAGGCCATTGAAGACTCAGAATAGGAATGTAGTGTTAGAAGGAAATAACTCCCTCTTGGCCCCTATTGCGTCACTAACACTCCCCCACCTCCCCCCAGCCATGCCCCTGCAGAACTGTAGGAGGGATTTGGCTAGAGTGGGTGGAAAAGGAAAAGGGGAAAGGGATCTAGAAAAGTGTGTGCAGAAGTGGCTTTCAGGTTTTTAGTAAAATTCAGACATACTTCCATCACCTTGTAGTTCCAGTAATTTAAAAAAGTGCTCTTTGATTTACTTTGAAAAACTGGCAGGAAATTTGACATATCTTTTTTTTTAAAGTTTGTTTTTGAATATGAAAAATATCAAATACACATAAATAATAGGCCTCCTTACACCCAGACTGCTGTTTACTGCCAGAATTTTTTAAATGGAGGCAAGAAGTCCCAAGAGAGTATTCTTTTTTAGCGATTAAAACAATCTCTGTGTATCCTGTATTTCCTCTCAACCATATCCTTTGCAGTTTATACCTTTTCACATAATTTTTATACATTCTACTGTACTTTAAAAGAACAGCAGAAGATAGTTTATAGGGCTAAAATGAATTAAAATTCATTAGATAGATGTTTTTTCTTGTCCAAAAGCAAAGTAACTTGGACAAAAATCCCAAAACAGAATGACCAGTCAAACAGGTCCTGCAGGCCTAGACAGCTGCCTTCTGTCCCCTTCCAGCAGATGCAGTTTTCTTCTCTCCAGGTGGCCTGGCTGGGAGCTGAAATGAATGATCTCAAGGATCAGGTGCCCCTGATTCCCAAGAGAAGCACACATGACTGTCTGAAACCCTGTTTTTGTTTAAGATCTTAGAAATGCAGAGCTGGAAAGTTATGTTTGCTTCATCAGTTACTTGAGAAGAAAAGAGTTTGGAGACTCATATTGTAATTTTTTCCTAAGTGATTATTGAACATACAAGAACATAATTTTGTTGGAAATACATCTGTTAATGAGATGATGCTGGGGTTGCAGCTTCTGTGGTGTGCCTGTTAAAAGAATCAGCTTCTCCCTTTGGCCCCAACAGGCTTTCCCACTGGAGTGCAGTGAGTGGGATGCCCAGGGGCAGAGTTGCCTTTCTCCTGAACACTAGGAGGGCTTTGTAGGGAGAGGTGGGAACGAGGTCCTGAACCTTGTAGAGACGAGCACATCTGGAAATTCAAAATCTGATGGAAGTACGTTCCTTTCCAGAGTCTATGCTTTAGTACCTACAAGAGTGTTTATTCCCATTTTGAAGACCCTCTGGGCCAAACCACAGCCCTGGCTGGGTGCACTGCTGTTCTGTGCCTCAGCCTGTGCCCCTGACGGGGCTGTGGAAAGCAAGGCCATGGTGACTGGTCCTGCTTTAAGATTATGACCATTGACTTCAGACCAGTTGTTCAGGCTGCCCAGCAACCATTCTAGATTTCCCAAGTCCCTTTGTCACTTCCTTTTACTACTGTTCCCTGTCTGGAAGGTGCTTCCCCCAGAAGTCATAGAGGTCTTAAGTGTCCTCCATTTGATGAAGCCTTCCCTGGTTTCCTGTCTAAAACACCACTCTGATTTTTCACACTTTTTGCTTTTCTTAACTTTTTCCCTTGTTGATACTTATTCCCATTTGACTTACATAATTTACTTTTTATCTTAGTCCAGTGATTCTCAAACTTGAACTTGCATCATAATCACTCAGAGGGCTTAAAATACAGAACTGATGGGCCCAGCCCCAGAGTTTCTGACTCAGTAGGGCTAGGCCAGGAGCTGATGATTTGCATTTCTAACAGTTCCCAGGAGATGGTGAAGCTGCTAGTCTTGGGCCACACGTTGAACCGCTGCACTAGTAATGAGGACTACATGAGCCCTGTGAGGACAGTGATTTTTTTTATTGGACTTGTTCACATCTTGTTTCATCGGCACCTAGAAGAATGTCAAGCATGTAGTATGCATTAAGTAAATAGTTTTGAATGAATGATGAATAAAACTCTCTTGAAAAATAAAAGCTGTAAACAGTATCAAATACAAAAGCCCTATCAAAAAAATGCTTGTACTTGTCTAGTTTATAAACAAATACTTGTTGAAAGAATCTCAATTATGTTTTTGCTCCATAGGAAAAAAAATTGAGGCTATGTAATTTTTTTTTTAAGGAAACAGCTTTTTAAAGATATAATTTGCATACCATTCAGTTCACCTGCTTAAAATTTACATTCAGTAGTTTTTAGTATATTTACAGTCATGCAACCATCATCAATTTTATAGCATTTTAATCACCCCAAAAGAGATTCCTGTACTGGTTAGCAGTCATTGACCATTCCCCCCTAACCTCTCAGCCTGAAGCAACCTCTAATCTGCTTTCAATCTTTATAGATTTTCCTATTCTGGACAGTTCATCTAAATAGAATTATACCATATGTGGCCTTTGTGACTGGCTTCTTTCATTTAGCATAATGTTTTTGAGATTCATCCATGTTGTAGCATGTATTGGTGCTTGATTCCTTTTTATTGCCAGATAGTATTCCATTTTATGCATATACCATACAATTTAAAAAATATTTTATCTACTTAACAATTGATGAAAAATTAGGTTGTTTCCACTTTTTGGCTTTTATGAATAATGCTGCTATGACCATACATGTATAAATTTTGTATGGACAAGTGTTTATTGCTTGTGTGTATATATCTAGGGGTGGTTTAGTTTTATGGGAACTATAATTTAACATTTTACAGAGGTGCTGTTTTCCAAAATGGTGTTATTTTACATTTCCACCAGCAAATATGTGAAGATTCCAATTTGTCCATATTCTCAGTAGAACTCTGGCTTTTTGAATATAGCCATCCCAGTGGGTGTGGTTATCTCATGGTTTTGATTTGCATTTCTCTGATGGACAGTGATGTTGAGCATCTTTTAATGTGCTTCTTCACCATTTGTGTCATAGGAGAAATGTCTGTTTAGATCCTTTGAAGCCTCTGTAATTTTATGCCCTATTGTTTAATAAGAAATTTGGGAGAATAGCAGTTCCATTCCACTTTTTTTGTTGGATAATTGCAAATAACCAATGTTCTTAACTTTTTGTCACATGCATTTCAGGATACCTATGGGCATCCCTGCCTCACTTCATTCAGGAGTTTGCTCAGATAAACCCGCCCAGAGGCCTTTCTTGATCATCCTAACTAAAGAGGCTCTCCTCCGGTCTCTCTTTCCAGTCTTACTCTGTTTTATTTTCTACAGTACACTTGTCAGTTTGATTGAAGTTTTATTGGTTTGTCTTCCCAGGGGAGTGTAAGCTCAGTGAGAGTAGTGTCCCTGTTTGTTCACTTGGTGTACTAGTGGGGCCTCAGTAAATTCTGGTTGAATGAATGAAGGAGTAAAAAGATGGGCTGTGGCATCCACCACTCACTAGTTAGGGGAACTTGAGCAAATTATTTAACTTTTCTCAGGTTTAATATCTTCATTTATATAAAACCATAGTAGTAAGAGTTTTTGCATTCTTGGGTGGCTGTGAGGATTGAATTAATTGGTATATATAAAGCATTACACACCATGCCAAGTACTCTAAAGAAAAAAAAAGCCTTAAGTTTTCATCTTTTTTCTTGCTTTTGACATGTTATATGGCATAGTGTCTGTATGTTTGCCATGAATATGTGTTTACCTTTTAAAGGACGCAGGTGAACCACAATTCTTTCTTTTTTTTGTCTCCTTTTTTCCAGGGGATGCAGAGAGCAACTAATGTCACCTATCAAGCTCACCATGTCAGCAGGAATAAGAGGGGCCAGGTTGTGGGGACCAGAGGTGGCTTTCGTGGTTGTACAGTTTGGCTAACAGGTATGGTGAAGAGAGAGAAACCAATTATTTCAAAAGCATTGTGTATAGACAGCCTTGAACTAGGAGTAAGCATATTTAAAATTTGAGCTCTGTTTTTGTATCTGGAGCATCATAACATAACTGACAAAGTTGCTTAGTAGTAACATTTCCTTTTGGCAATTCCTTTCTTCTTTAAAAGAATTGCTGTTGAAGGGGAAAAGGCAGAAAGCATCCTAAAAACTTTCTCATTGATAACTGTATTATATTCTATAATCTTCTGCATGCAAATCAGACTTGATTCTGCCTTCAGGAAGCTAATAATGTAAACCACATGAAGAGAAGGACAGTGAGAAAGAGTTTCATATAATCAGTTTCTATCATTCAGCTTTCATTTTGTCCTCTGTTTGGCTCTTGTGTGGTTTTGCCTGAGTATCTCTCTGGGCTTAGCTATAGCAGGCTGGTGAGAGGGTAAATTGGTCCAGATTTTGGAGGTGGCTTTAAAATTGATGGATCCTTTTACTTATAGAAATTGTATTTAAAGTTTTTATGCATCTTGTCATATTCCCCACTAAAATTATATACCTATTTACTCTCCCACCAGCCGTGGAGGAGAGGATCCATTTCCCGGTATCTTTGTCAATGTGGATATTACCAACCCTTAAAATTTTTGCTGATTGGCAAAAAAAGCAGCATTCCCATTTTCTGTTTTTAGATTACAGGTTTCAATTGGAGACAGGTCTGTCTGTTTCTGTAGGAAAGAAGACCATACTCTTGCATTCTTTTCCTCTCCTCATTCTTGTCTAGATTGATAAATTGGTACCTTACATTGCTTAGGTTTGTAACACTAACATTCTGTTCTTAAATCTTAGATTTCCCTCATTGTTTGTATTTGAGTTCTGTAAGCAGTTTGATTCAGTACTACTTAATGGGCTCACCATCAGTTCTTTTCTTAGGGCATGTTCATTCATGAGCTCTTTCTTTCAGTCAGGTTTTGATTTGTATTTCATTGTTGAGCAGATTTTGTTAAAATGTTAAGACCATTGTTTAGATTGTCTTCTGTTGAACTCTTAATTTCCTAAGTTTTTATGTTTGAGAGTGTCTGCTGTCTTTTCACAACAACATGGCTAGATAAAATACATACTTGGTTCATACTTTTTTGTCTTGAAATTCTGGAAACACGACTGACTCCATTGTTTTCTGGTATTAAATATAAAGAAGTCCAAAACTAACCTGATTCTGTGTCTTTTTAGGAGCTTTCCTTTTTTTATCTGGATGCCTGAAGAATTCTGTATATATTTTTAAGAAGTTCTGCCATTCTCATTTAGGCCCTTTATGTATCTGCAATTGGTTTTTGTGTGTAGTGTGAGGGAGTTATCCATTTTCTTTTTCTCCCATGTGGATTGTTTGTCCCAGGAGCATATACTGACGAAGGTATCCTTTTTGTCATACATTAGGTTTCCAGTTATGTGTGGATTTGTTTCAGGGCTCTTTGATCTATTCCACTGGCCTACTTGTTTATTCCTCTATTATTACCACACTGTCATAATTGTTATATATTTATAAGTCTTAAAATTCAGTGGAATATGTCCTCTTACCTTATTCTTCATCAGGAGTGTCTTGACTGTTTTTGGGGGTTGTGAGGAGAGAGGCTTTTTGCATTATTGTGTACATTTTATAATTGGTTTAACCAATTCTTCCAAAATCCTGTTGAGAATTAGTTTGGGATTACATTGTACCTAAAGGTCAATTTTGGGGAAAACTGGTCTTTAGAATATTGTGTGTTCCTTTTCTTGGACATGGTATTTTCTGTTTATTTTACCACTAATGAGGCTTATACACACTGCTTATCATATTTTTTGGTACTTGCTTTGTGGTTTATTATGTGGTTTCCATGAATGTTTATTTGAAAAGAATATGTATTTTCCTGATGTGTACAGTATGCTTTGCTATGTTCATTAGATCAAGCTTTTTAATTAGGTTATCCGATCTTCTGTAGCCTTCATTGATTTTGTTTTTTTACCATATTGTTGAAAATGGAAGTCAAGATTCCTTTCTTTGTGTGCAATTCAGTAGCTTAACCAGGATCTGTCAAGGTATTGAGCAGAATCTCTCAGGATATTGAGTGTTTTGTATGCTATTTGCCTGGAACACAGTTTGCTTTCTCTCAGCTTTTATCTCAGGTAAACCTTGTTTTGTATTTTGGCATTGGTTGGGGTATTCATTTCCCAGGGCTGCTGTAAATAATTACTATAAAGTGTGTGGCTTCAAACAACAGAAATTCATTCTTTCACAGTTCTGGAGGATAAAAGTGTGATGCAGGTGTCGGCAGGGCTGGTCCCTTCCGTAGCCTCTGAGGGGGAGTCTGTTCTGTGCCTCTCTCCTATCCTCTCCTGGTTACAGGCAATCCTTGGTGTTCTTGGTTCGTAGATGTAGCATTCCAGTCTCTGCTTTCATTGTCACATAGCCTTGTAAGGACAACAGCCACTGGGTTTAATGCCCACCCTAGTCCTATATGACCTCATTTTAATTTAATTATACCACAAAGACCTTACTTTCAAATGAGATCACATTCTGAGATTCTGGGTGTTTATGAATTTTGGAAGAAGGACATTACACAATACAGCACATTTAGTTTCTCTTCTTAAGGCAGATGAATTTTTCTGTATTAGTTTTGGGTTATTGATCTTGCATTTTCTATTAATTATTTTAACTGCTTTAATTTCCTTGCCTTCTTATCTATGTTCACTATACTCATCTCACTGAAACTTAGCAATTAAATTTTCAGTAGCACCTATTCTTTGTTTCACATTAAATACATATGTAGGATGTAGATATAAACAGACAGTTATGTTGTGATTTAGGTATTCTTTGTTGTATAAAAAATTTACTTTCAGGTTTCATTTTTTTCCCCCAATACTTAGTGCTCAGCTGGTAGTTAAAAACCATGACAGGTGGAACAGCCTGCTTCTCCCGAACCCATATCTTTTTGTTCTAGTTATTGTGCCTGGTAACAGATTACCTGTTCTAATTTGCTTACCATTTTGTGGGGAAGGAATCTGGGGGCCCAGCCTAGGTCTGGCTTTGCTTCCTTCTGAAGGCTCCACTGGCTGGGCCTCCATGATGCCTCATGCAGTTGCAGCTGCTGCTTGGCTGGGAGCTTCGCTGAAACACTGTGTGACCTCTCCAGCACGGTGGTCTCAGGATATTTAATAGCTGGCTTCCCCCAGATTAAATGTCCAGAGCGAAGCTGCATAGCCTTTTCTGACCTAGCCGTGGAAGTTGTTACATGATTGTTATTTTCACTACATTCTTTTGGCTACAGGCCAGTCCTAAGACCACCCCAGGTTCAGAGCAGGAAATTAGACTCGGCCTCTTGATGTGATAGTGGTGACGTTACACTGTAAAAGAGCTTGCAGCATGGAAATTCTGTTGCCATCATCTTTGGAAAATACAATGTGCTGTATTCGTATTGATACCAGTTTTTATGTGTAAAGCAACTAACAGTGTATTGATCCTCCTAATATATCTTCCTTTTCCTTTATGTTTTTTCCAGTTAGCACTCTCTACTACCATAACTTCCTTTGAGAACATCTGTACATTAGACTTAAGTATTGTATCTCTTGCCCCATAGCTACCTCATTTGTAAATTCTATAATTACTTAGCGAAGTGGCAACTATTAGTACACAAATAGGCTTTTTTTCTTTTCCTTTACTTCTTGTTGTTTAGTGAATAAATGTCATTGGTACAGGAAGGTAGTTGTATTATAAATTGGCTTCCCAGGTGCTTTTATTGTGGGGGTCTGTGAGAGATGTTTGTCCTGGGATATATAGGTTACTTTCTAATGTTTATTTATTTCACTTACTTCTGACCTTTCTTTTACTTCAGCAGAAATAATTTGGGCATATGTCTTAAAATTGGCATGTAGCTTTAGAATAATAGCAGGGGACAAAGTGAGTATGACTCAGCTATGACTGATACTTAAAAATGCTTAAGCCTTTGAAGCTGAGTGCTTTTCTGAGATACTTTTGGGCATGGACAGGAGTTAACTAAGAATGTAAATGGTTATTATATTTAAACTGCAGATGTTTGTAGCTAAGAGGTAAATCTTAAAGAGTAATATTAGGTAAGAATGTTACTGAGAGACTGCTGTGAATAATGAATGTTCCTAGGCCTGTAACTAAAATTCTGTGAAGCTCTCCTTCCAATTTTGTATGTGGAATTTGTTTGCATTGTTGAATTTTAGGCTTATCTGGAGCTGGAAAGACGACTGTGAGCATGGCTTTAGAAGAGTATTTGGTTTGCCATGGTATCCCATGCTACACTTTGGATGGTGACAACATTCGCCAAGGTCTCAATAAAAATCTCGGCTTTAGTCCTGAAGACAGAGAAGAGAATGTTCGACGTATTGCAGAAGTCGCTAAGCTATTTGCAGATGCTGGCTTAGTGTGCATCACAAGTTTCATATCACCTTATACTCAGGTATGTGTCTTCTGTGCTGTTGCTATTTTAATTACACTTGTTGAGAATGTGGTATCAGGCAGTGCAAATAATTTAAACATCAACATGTGTTTTGAGGCTAAATCAAATTGAAATAATTACCTACAGAATTTCTGTGCCGTGACTTTCTGAGTAACCTCATTTTTCATAAAACCTACTATAACCTGCCTCTCTCACCCACCTGCCCTGCTCTCAAAGTATAACCAAAATCACTGACCTCAAGCCAATGGCTAAATTACTTCAAGCTTGATTTTTCAATTCCTCAAACCTATACTGAACAGTCAACATGAATCAGACACTAGGGAGAATATTGTTTTTTAACATGTGTCCTACCATGGCTTCTTTGCTCATAATTCTTGAGTCTCATCTTTCACCACATTGTTCCTCTTATTTTAGAAACTAGCAGTGCCACTTCACTTTTTTTTTTCTCTGCACACATTATATTGTCTCTCACCATGGGATTTTTGTTTCCCACTGCCTGGAAGGCACTCTTCGCCTTCCTCCTATCCTTCCCTGCTCACCGTCAGTTGCCTCCCATTTTTGTTTGGAGCCCCAGGGTGGGTGTCTCCTCCTACTGAGCACCTTCCGTTTTTCCCTCAGGCTTTGTGGGCTGCCTTTTTTTGGTGCCCTGTTATTGCATCGTAACACAGTGTTTTATTATAAATGTCAGTCCACTGGATGGTGGTGCTAATAGCAACGGCAGTCATGGTAATAATGATGATAATTGTAGCTAATAAATTTTGGTCACTTAACTATGCACTAGCAATTGTTTTAAAGTTCTTTTATCAATTCACTTATTTACTTCTCATCACCCAATATGGAAGGTAGAGGTGAGGAAGCTCAGGTGTAAATTACCCAAGGTCACACACGCTACGTGATAGAGCAAGGATTTGTACCCAGTCAATATCACTGGAATCCATGCTCTTGCCCACCTTGCTTTGCTGCCTCTAAACTTAGCTGGCTTTTTGAAGGCTAGAACTACATCTTACTTATCTTTGGAATTTTGAGCCAAGCCTTGCTTCGTGAACACAGTAGATGTTTTAGTATTTGTTAAATGATAGCATAAACCCTTAGGGAGCCCAGATATGAAAGACAGTGGTTAATGGCAGGTGAGTTGGAGCCAGAAACAATGGGCTGATATCTCAGCTCTGCCAGTTACTGTTATGAGCTTGGTCAGTTTACTTAATCTTCCTAAACTCAGGTAATCTCATAGAGTTGCTCTAAATATAAGGTAAATCAGACATTCAAAGCTCTCAGCACAGTGCCTGGTGTGTAATAAGTGTTTAGTAAATATAATAAATAATAGCACAATTTAGTACTTACCGTAAATTTGGGTGGTTGCTTAGACTTTTTTTAAACCAAAAACAAAATTTGAGCTGTAACATAGGTAAGTATCAGATTGAGTGTTAATCATACAGGTTCATGTAATTGAACCATGGTAGGAGTCCTTAAGGGTTCCTGGAGGACTAGCTGCTTTCCTTTTTCCTGAAATATTGGGATTGGTGTCAATACATCAGTTTGAGGTATACTGGATAATGAAGTTTATAAGAGACTGAGAGTTGTTAGAGTTCTTGGATCCTTGGATATAAACAATTTTCATAGTAATATAATAACAGTGATGTTCTTGCACCTTCTGGGAATGTTTGCCACTCATGGAAAAGGAGAAAGTCAGTAACACCTGATTTGGAGAGCTATCAGCTGAGACACAGGTATCAAAAAGTATACACCGATCGGCTTTTTGGCCTTCTTGTTTCCATAGTGTGGGGCAAGATTTGTGTTGGTTTCTTGTCTAAAAGCACTAAGCATGAAGATTGGACAGAGCTTAGGGCATGTCAAACTCTGATAATATTTGGATCAAGTGTACAGTACAGGATCATTTAAAGTAGTCTCTTACCTCCAGACCATTCTCCTTCCAGGCTTCAAGGGTAACCTCACTAATGCAAACCTCACTAATGCAAACCCAGAGACATTCCCTAGTACCATCTCACTCCATCAAGTATGTGTGGGGCAAAGGCCTGAGCAGTCAATTTTCTATGTCAACACAGAACTTGGGTATTTTTGTTCTAAAAATAAACCTGATGGTTCCTAGGTCATCTGGTGGGAACATAGAGGTGTGAACAGATACAATATCTTGAGGCTAGTAATTAGGTAAATGAATATAAAAGGTGCTATGGAAGATTCACAGAGGAGGTGCTTGCTGCTTGAAATGAGTCATGGAGGATGAATCAAAGTGTATCAGGCCAGAGGAGGAAACCTATTTCAGACAAAGGAGATGGTACAGTATTTGCACACGCTTGGAAATGTTAGGGACTTTGGTCTTTTAGGGAGCTGTAGGTAATTTGTTAAGACTGCTATGCAGGATGAACATGAGGCAAGAGAACGCTGGAGCAATTGGCAGAGGTCTGATGATGAACTCCGCCTGCTCAGGACTTTGCCCCACATGTACTTGATAATTTGAGATGGTACTAGGGAATGGTGTATCTGGGTTTGCATTTGAGAGGTCACCTTTGAAGCCTGGAATGAGAATGGTCTGGAGGTAGGAGACTAGTTAGGAGGCTTTTGAATTAATTTCAAGCAGCAGTAGTCTAAATAGAAAAATGGGGCACATTTGAGGGCGCTTGAGCCAGTAGCATTAGTAGGACTTGGCACCTGGGTGATTTGCTCAATGAGGGGTGAACATGAAGAATGGTGCTTTCTACACAGAAGATGGTATGACTGAGTTAAAAAGTATAAGCTGGGAAGGGAAGACATTACTGTTTCATTTTTGGTAGGTTAGGTTTTAAATGCTAATGAATATCTAAGGGGAGAGGACCACTGGGTCATTGGAAAATTGGTTCTAGAGTTCTGGAAAGTTGTGTAGAATTGAGAGATAGATTTAGGAATCATTAACTTTATTAGTTGAAACTGAGATGAATTTGAGTATACAGAAGAGTAAGCTAATGAAATGATTTCCATGTATCAGAATAAGATGTACGACAGAGGTACACAGTGATTACTCTGAGAACTTAGAGGAAGCAAAGGTTCTTGGTCAGCTTGGGCACACAAGTAGGCTTCCAGGAGGACTTCCCCATGAGCTGAGCTGTGAAGGAGCACGATGCTTCAGCTGCAAGAGAGGGTCAAGTGTTTTTGGCAGGGTTGATAGCAAAGGTATAAGGCCTAAACAGCCTGGTAGACCAGGCAGGTATTTATTATTATTAATAGACCATCAAGTGCAAGACTGAGAATGGTGAGATCAGATATAGAAGGTCTGGTGCTTTGCACTAAGAAGCTTGGGTATTATCCTAATGGCAGTGGGGAGTCTCAGAAGATGGTAGTGACATGCTCAAATTTGCATCTGCTTTCATCCTGGGGACAGTATAGAGGATAGCTCTGAGCAGATCAGAGCTTAGAAGCCAGCAGACTGATAGGAAGGTGGTTATTCTGTCCAGACAGAAGAAATGAACTTGAACGAGGGAGCTGAGAAGTACTGCTTGTACTTGGTTGGTGTGACATGTAGAGGTAGCATCTGAAGGACTTAGTCACAAAATGCATGGGTGACAGTGCACAAAGGGAAGGAACCAGAACAGCTCTCAGAGTTTGGGTGGATAGTGTTGTCATTCCTTGATAGGTGGGATGCAAGCTGAGGAGACAGAGAATGGATTCAATATGGGACGTGCAAATTTTAAGGTACTTGTAGGATCTCCAGGTGAGTATATTTAGGAGTTGGAAATGTGTGTATAATTTTAGGAGAGAGGACAGGGCTTAGGCATAAACGCCAGTGAATATATTATAGTTTACACTGTGAAGGCAGTTGAGAAAAATGCTCAAGGACTGCATAATGTGAGCAGCAGGCTCCTGAGCAATGTGGGCATCACTAGTCTTTGAGGGATAGGTGAAGTAGGGGAGTCTGTATAGGGATGAGTAGCATCATGGGAACATGTAGGGTTATTAATGAGAAACACAACAGAAAGTCCTGGAAGTACTCATGATTAAGGAATTTTTGTATGACTTGTTTACTTGCTTTTAATGGATGAGAGTGACTTGTATTTGTTTGTTGCCAGGGGAAGAAGCCAGTGGTGTTGGAAGAGATTTAAGATGTCAGATGGAGTAGGGATAATGGGCTGAGCAAAGTCCACTGGAAGGACAGGGACTTATCTGACAGAGGAGAAGCAGGAGTGTCTTGCCCATGGGTTTCAGCCCCAGTAAAGTTCACTGTGGATTCAGCGAGATTGGAAAAATAACAATGGAATGTTCTTGGGGTGAAAGGGTTTATACCCAACTTTATTCCCACAGTGGCAGGTCAATCACTAGAACCCCATCCACTCAGAGCAAGTCTGCCTGCAGCAAGTTGGTCTCTGCCTCAGCTTCTCTGCCCCTGCAGCTGTCTCAGTCTGTCCTCGGTGCTGCCACCACTACAGTCTCTGCTCTCCTGCAGCCATGCAGCCCAGAGCATTGGGCAGAGCTCTGTATATAGAGTCAGTAATAGTGTATTGCCCACACGTGTGTAGTGAGCAAGCTGACCAGGGCCAGGTGAGAATCCTGGCCATAGGAACCTTCACTTTCTCCACAAGGAGGGGTGGAGATAAAGATTGTTGGGGATGTAAATACATTTATAGAGAGAGGATATTGAGAACATTCATGCCTGGGGATTTCCTTTTTGGTCATCTGTTGAGGGTGGAGGTAGGCCTACTTTGTCAGGGGCCATAAGAAAGGTGGTGAATGCAAAAGTGGGCCATGTGGACATGCAGGAGCTGGCTTTGCGAGTGTTGGCCCTGCTTTGTATGTACAGTATGAATGTAAAGCTTGCATCTGAGAATGGGAAGATAAGTGGATCCTCAAGGGAGAACATAGTTTTAGTTAAGACTGGAAAGAAGAGGTTGACTTAGAAAGGAGGGAGACAGTCTTTCCAGGTCAGGGTGGAGAGTTTAAACTGAGCGATGAAGAAGGTTACCAGAGAGTTGGGGGTTAGGAGCTGTGCAGAGAAGTAAAGTTTTGGGAATGCCAGAGATGAGAAGTGGCTTCAGGAACTTGCATTTATCAAGCACAGAAACTAGCCTCAGGGTTCCAAGTGGATGCCCTGTGAAGTTGCTTTAATGCCAGCTCAGCTGAGGATGAATGTGTTATTAGAGAGGCCTTAGGACACCTGCATTTGAGCTGAGCTCTGATTCAAGCTCCTCATAAAATTTCAGTGAAAGTTGTATGGGGTATCCATTGTTTTCCTCCTTGAACTCCCCAATATCTCAGATTTTTGCCTCAGAATACATTTTTAAATTGTCCCGAAGAATGGATGTGTTAACATATATATTCTAATATATGTATTAGAAATATATTTTTAATATATTTTCCATGAACTCTGCTGAAAAGCCCTTTTACTTGTCCTTGATGTTCATATAGCACCTTTGAATTGTATCAGTATTTTTCATTATTATTCCATATCTTTTTTCTAAGGATCGCAACAATGCAAGGCAAATTCATGAGGGTGCAAGTTTACCTTTTTTTGAAGTATTTGTTGATGCTCCTCTCCATGTTTGTGAACAGAGGGATGTCAAAGGACTTTACAAAAAAGCACGGGCTGGAGAAATTAAAGGTAAGTAATATTTTTTTCCCAGTTTCTCTTTGTTTAGATATTTAATCTTACCATATCTGAGACTGAAAATGTTTTCTAAGAGATTGGGGGTATTCAAACAATTTGGAGCTCCTTGAGATGAGAAAATGGGTTTTATTACAGTGTTATATCTCTCAGGCCAGCAGGAATAAGTACCTGGCACTGTGTATACTCATCAATTTTTGTTGATCAGGTTGGAGTCTGTCTTGCCAACAGGTTTTAGCCCCAGGCAAGCTCACTGGATTCAATGAGACCAAGGAATGACAATGGAAAATTCTTGGGGTGAAAGGGTTTATTTATTTATCATTTATTTTTATTAAAGTATCATTGATATACACTCTTATGAAGGTTTCACATGAAAA